ATTTTATTACACAGAATTTCATAGCATAGATCTGGGGATTTAGCTCAGTTGTATAAGTTCCTGCCTGGCAATAGCAAGGTCATGAGTCTGATCCCCAGTAACAAAAAACAAAAACTAAAGAATTCCATAGCATAGCTTTTTAGAAGGCAATTCAGACATACACAGCACTACAAAAAGCCAGATACATACAAAAAAATAAAGCATCCTATGGTATATTAAAATGTAGAATAAAAAAGTAATACCACACTTAACAGGCACATATACATTTTACATATACACATTTATATACATACATACATATCAAGTTCTCATCCAAAATCATTTTGTGTATGCATAACAATAAATGGAAAATAAAACAGCACTACATTAAACACTTCATTTTGTTTAGCTCATGGAATTTTCACAACTAAACACACAAATACACATGAAATTTACAGTTACACCAGAAAGAAAATAAGCACCTTCTAGTAGTAAGTTATCTCTGGAAAATGGTATTTTTGGATTAGGACAAAGGACAGAAATGGTTACGGAGTACTTTCAAATTTTATTACAAATTCTCTGTCACTTTTAACTTTTTGTATTTAGCTTACACTTCCCTTTTAAATTTAAAAAGAACAAAATAAAGACTTTCTGAGCTTTTACTATAAATACATGAAAATAAAACTGTTGGAATGTAAAAGACATGAAGTGTTTTCGTCTTTAAAAAATTAGGTCTTTAGATTATGAGCACACTGTCAGTTTTAAAAATAGAATAGCAAGATTATGTAAGATTATATTCATCAGCAGTCTGCTATACACATTACTTTTATGAAATGATGTCAGAAAGCAAGCATGGTGTGTGACATTCACATGATTAAATGATCACATCACTAGCTCCGTCTCTTCATGCCTTAAAAGGAGGTTTTGAGTTGGAGTTTACCCTACACAACATTTAGTGCCACATTTACTAAGGAAGCTTAACCCCAACAGCCAGGCTTACTTAATAACAAAACAAATGCAGTGAAAATAAAACCCTGTATTTAAAATGTACAATGTTCACAATTTCAAAACAAAGTAATAGGAAAATTTTTTTAAAAATATACAATTTCCTCTCATAATACAATTACACACCTATTATATGTAAGTTTTGAGGTAGAGATGTATGAGTAAAAAAAACATAATGTATTTTTTTGTGTTTGAGAAACTGGATAATCTTCAACCAGGCAAAATTAAGTACAAACACAAATGAGATGAGGGTAACTAGCTCTACAGCATCCTAGCAATCATTTTTATTTTCTTATCCTATATAAAGCTATTTTGAGCTTTATATTCTAAACTTTACTTAAAAGGAAACAAACTCACAGATTTTTATGAAAACACTAGCTTCATAAACATTTATAAACCCAACAATATTTACAACATTGTAAAAGAACAAATTTCAGAGACACATTATATTACGATTAAATTCAATGTTTTGTGCTAATATGTAAAAAAAACTTTGTAATAAAATATAGACACCTATTTACCAAAGTGTTTCTTACACAGGGACAATTTTGTCCCCCAGGGAACATTTGACAATGCCTGGAAACATTTTTACTTATCACAACTGGTGACAGGTGGTATGTGGGAAGATACTACGGACATTGCTAAATATCCTTTAATGCAAGAGGAGCCTCCCCAAACAATTACCTAGCCCAGTATATAATATCAAAGAATAATGATTTATAGTAATAGTATACTAACCTATAAATCAAGGTGCTATGCAGACTTTCCATCTTAAATAACTCAAAAACTGGAAGAGTTTAGAATGTACAATTTATTCAAATGGCTGAACTGTTCAGTGGTTAAGGAGACAGTTATGTGCCAGAAAGACGCATTACTCTTTTGCATGGTTTAGTTAAAATACAAAAGCTGTTTGTCCAAATAAAAGCATCCTTCACTGGCGGGGGTGGGGGGGTGGTGGTGGTCTGGAAAAGTGCCAAAAAGTACAAACTAAAACAAAACAAAACACAGGTTGAAATAAACTATTACAGAGCATATTTCACGTGCCTGCTCTATACTGAGATCTTGCCTCTAACGGCAGTAATATTACTCAAGTAATAAAATCATCCCAAGATTTCCTTGCTGGTTAATGAGAGCTGGGTTACAAGACTCCATCTGTGTAATCAAAAACTCATGCTTCTTTCATTACAACACTAAGTAGTCAAAATTTTTTTAAATCTAAGTCGATGTATTTTATTCATACGGCAACTCCTCAAGCTCCTGCTTAGCAGTAGTCTCTCTTATTATAGACAAATTCTAGTAAGTTTGGATGTCTGGTTTTTAAATCCATAAGGTGATTTAAAATAGTTCATTACAGAGCTTTTATAAACTGGTGTCAAGGCTGGAAGAAAATATGAAAATTTTAAAAATACAAAACACCTAAAAGTCAAGGGCTTTCATTACAGAAATCACTGTACGCTATCCAGTAGTCCTGGGCTAGGGATATAACTCAATTGGAAAACAGTTATCTAGTATGTATGACATACCGGTGTCAAATTTCAGCACTGTAAACAACATAAAATAGTACGATGCAGGAAAAGAAAAAAGGGGGAAACTGAGATAGGAAGGAGGAATCAAAAAAAAGGAGAAAAGGGATTGGAATGGTAAAGAAAAAGAAGCGACAAATATTGCAAAGTGGAAAACAAGGTAAGAATTAATGGAGGGAAAGAAAAGAAAAGAGGAAAGGGCAAAACAGTTTGAGAATACAGACCTAGTAAAGAGAGTAATGATGAAGCATTTTAGGAGAAATTCACAAGACAAATAAATAAGGGAATGAAGTAGGAAAAAAAAGGAAGAAAGGGAAACTGACCCTAACTCAAGAAATCCTGACACTGTGATGGAAATAAATGAAGTATAGAGAAAAGAGAAAAAGAGGTTTCTAACAGATTCCTAGAAACAGACTTAAACTATTCCCAAAACTTCCTATCTGCAATGTCACAAGTGCTATAAACACTGAAATCGTACCTAATCTGAATTTAAATATACTATAAATTTTAAGCTATATATCTGATTTCAAAAATTTAATATGAAAAAATTAAACAATACCTAAAAATGTTTTATACTAATTATGTCAAATGATAATATTTAGGATACAGCAGATTAGTGTAAAAATATTAAAATTAATTTCACAAATTTCCATTTATTTTTATAAATCTTGCATTATATTACTATTAGATATCACAACTGTTTTAGAACTCATGCTGGTGCCAGAGTATAACCCTAGAAATCACTGCCAACCTTATAACCACCTCCATCTTTCAGAATGTTAATTGCTAAGACATGTGCAACTACATATCTAGGTGTTAAAACCTGGTAGACAGTAATCATGAGCTCTAATAGAATATAACCTCTACTAAACCTATTTTTAACATGTGAATCTAGGCAAGTGGCAAGGCTTAAGATGAGTGAAGACTGGCAAAATAAAATTTTAGGATTTAACGCAAGGAATGAAACTGAAAGATGCATTTTGTGACTCTAGAACAACACTGGTTTTAGACTTGACATCTGATCAGTACAATGAAAAAAAGATACTTGAAGACTTCCATTACAATCATAAAAACAAAAACAGACATATTTTGAAAGCTTCTTCTCTAGACGTATGTAGTCAGTTTCTGAAAATTATTTTTAAAAATATTACTTTATCTTCCCTCATATAAAATAATTTTCTTGTGTGAAAATAAATCTCAGAGTATTTTAAATTTTCACTAAGGGAAAATGAATGTACATGTATACACACTTAAACACATTTGCCACCCTACAATAAGGTGGAAAAAAGCCTTCAATCTATTTTATATTTATTGCAAAGTACTACATTGAGAAAAAAATTTTGTTACACAGTGACTACACTCCCCTCTCCTCAATTCTATGAAATAAAGCCAATTCCAAGCCCCAGTCCATATACTTAGCAAAAATTAAATATTTGGAAGTGCTGTTCAAACTTTAATATAGACACAAATTCACAGAAGGATCCTAGAACACTGCAGATCGTGATTTATCATGTCTGGAGTGATATCTAAAATTATTTTGCAAATAAGCGTACTTCAAATATAAAATCCCAAGGTAATAGCAACACTGTTAGACCATGGGTTGCACTTTGAGTGGCAAAGGGTTAAAACACAATTATTCCAATATTAAGAAACAATTTATATTTACTACTATAAAGGGGGAAAAGATCTGTAGATTTTTATATAGCAAGTCTACAGTGGTACCTAAAATAGTGTATTTTCAAATAAGCTCCTAGGAGATATTAGTGCTGCTACATTATGGGTCACACTTTAAGCACCAAAGGGTTAATTAAGATAGACAACTATTCCTATATTAAAAACAATTTATATTTAGTGTTTAAAAAATGGAAATAACTTCATTTCAAAGGATCCAAAGAGTTTTTTATTTTAGGGCATCACCTAAAACAATGCCTATTTTAGGTTGGTTGACCAGCACTATAAGGCTTCAAGACATGGCAATCCACATGTCAAACTTGAGAATTCATAACCCTACAATTTACTTTGAGTTCTACTTCAAATATAGATAATGAGAATACAGCATCAGGATGAGCAAGAGGCAATTCCCAGGATGTCTGTGGAAATTTTGGTTAGGTCTATAAAACGCATCACATGCATAACTTATGTGCAAATATACTTACTGCTTACAATAAGCATATACTTCTAATATTCAAATGCATTTTAAAATTCAAAAATACATGACAGCCAGACACAATGAGATGCATCTGTAATCCCAACAACTCAGAAGGCTAAGATGGGAGGAATGTTTCAGTCCATGAGTTTGAGAAAACAAACAGCATAGGAAATAGCTCAAAATAAATAAATTAAATTAAAACAAAATGATGGAAAAAAGAGAAAAGGACTAACATTGAGTGAATATACAAGATTTTTAAAAATGATGATTAAGAAACAACTATTAAGTATGGTAAGGAATAAGAAACTTTAAGTGATAATTATAAATAGTTAAGAGCTACTTACCTTTGTGAAGTTATTCAAATGTCCAAGCTTTCTCATATTTGATACCCCTTGTAATTTGGCCACATTTTGGAGTATTTCTCTTAAATTATCAGAAGGTTCTAGAAGATAAGACCATTTACAATAATTTTAAGGATGCTTCCCTAAGCAAACACGTAAAACATGCAGTATTAAAATGTCACAGTTTCGGTCCTTCACTAAGTCTTACTCTCCACCCAAAACCATTCATTTAGTTGACTTCAAATTCCACAGGGATGACACCCAATTGCCCTCACATTTTTACGCCACTCATACCTATGATCTAGCTCCATAAATCACCTGTAATTACTTAAACACAAAATCACAGACTTTAGCATCTCAACTCTCACTTCTTACTACTATGTGGCAATACGAATTACACTATTCTGTTTGAATTAATCAAAAACTTGGATAAAATAGTGTTTTCAAGACACTGGACACCAAGTAAAGAACAGTAAAGAACAATGACCTCTGAAACATGGGAAACACATATGTATGTCCTCCAAATTACCAGCTAACTTCCTGATGAGTGTTTCAAGGCCTTGGTTCTGGAAGGAAAACACATTCTGAGTTGAACAAACAGAGCCAACGAGTCCAGGGAGACCAAGGATTACTGGAGAGCAACAAAGAATTTTGGAGATCTAGAAAGGGAATTCCTCAGGTATGCAGTTTAATTCATGCATATGTATGAGGAAATTACCCAAGGCCAGGAAAATAACCCTTCGAAAGAATTAGAGGAAAAATACCATACAATTACACAATCGAAATGTATTCCTTACAAAATGTATTACAAGATGCATTCAAACACCTTATGGGGCATTAAGTGAATATTCAGAAAATCCTTGACTCAGCAGTGAGGAACTAAGTAGATATGTAGACTAATCATTTCTTTGATTCCACTAATAAATATAAAAGCAAGATTTGAAAGAATTAAACTGTTTCCAAATAACTAATGGCCAGAGCTCAATGTTTTTAAGAATAGGAAAAAAAAACAAAGAGCACCTAACAGGGAACATTTTAAAATATTCAGAATCCAATGGAAAATTACAAGACATGTAAAGAAATAAGAAAACATGTTCCCTAATATACAGAACAATTAATCATTTAAAACTGATTTCAGAATTGGTGATATTATAATTACCAAAAAGTTAAATCAGAATCACATTTGTAAATATCATATTGTCTCTCTAGTGTAAAAAATAAATAATATTAAGAGTAATAAGATCTAAAATGTACATCAGATATTGTAATAATGCAAAGTGCTCAAAAAGAAAGAACAACTTGTAGGTATACACTTATGTAGGTACACACATATAAGTATATATGTTTAAGTGTTCAAGATAGATAACCATACTACTAATCTTGTTCATAAAAAAGTTTGTGCTGTTATTATTTGTCTTCGTTTTTTATGCTTTAATTTTGTAATGAGCAACTTACTTTTAAGATAACAATGTAATATATTAAGTAGCGTTGATTTCTTACTGTTGTTTTTTGAAATTCTATATTATTTCTACCCCTTTTTGTTTTGCTTCTTAAAAATAAAAAAAAAAATGACCAAAAAAGGACATCGAAAGTTTTTATAACTACAGTTCTATGTTCAAAAACTTAAGCACATGGACAAAAAGTATAAAGGCACTCAAATTTCTGTAGTTAAAAACTGTAACATCTTACATGAAAAATGTTTTAGATAAGAAAAACAAAAATCGTGAACTGAAAGAAAAAGCAATAAAACTAAAATATAACACAAAGGCCCTTCAAGCAGTTTAATTTATGTACAACTGAAGTTTTCTAAGTAAAAAGATACACATGGAACAACTGAAGAAATAATGGATGAAAACTGTATCTGATGAAAACAGTACGCCATTAAATACAAGAAAAAGGAATATGAAGAAAACAAAACCAAGAAACGTAATTAAAATTGTTCAAAATGACTAAGAGAAAACCTTTAAAAGTAGCCATATTAAAAAGACATTACATAGAAGAAAGTAACAAAACAAAACAGGGATGACAAATTTCTTGTCAGAAACAAGTAACATGATACAGCAATACCTTTAAAGTAATGAAAGGAGAAAGAAAGTTTTCCAAAGTAGAAAACATTCTAGATTTCCCTACTACACAGAAACAGCCCAAATAGAACTCTATAGGCAGTCTGCTAACCTCTAGATTAAGGGGGAAAAAAACTGTTCTTTTTTTTTTTTTTTTTTTTTTTTGAAACAGGGTGTTACTTTTTTAGTTCAAGGTGGCCTTGAATTCACTGGATAGTCCAAGCTAGCCTTGAACTCACACTGATCCTTCTGCCTCAGCCTACTGAGTACTAGGATTACAGGTACATACCACCACGCCTGAATTATTCTTTTAATAATATATTCAACAGCATACTTGTTTTAAATAAAATGAAAGTACAATCGTAAGACAAAACACAAAAAAGCATTAATATATAGGATCTTCATATTTAAAAGCCATTGCAACTTTCTTTGGATTTTATCCTCACAAATCCAAAGAAATAATCATTTTGAATTAGTATTTTTCTCATCAAATGAAACTCCAGACTGTCTTCCATTTAGCTTTCAACTGTCTCGTTTATTCTATTCTGTTTATAGCTGGAGTTGGCCATGAAAAACAATTTGATATCAAACTACTAAGCATACTACTTATCTCAGCTATCTCTAATCTGATCATTTGGATGTTGCTATCTACTGAGATCATTCACTTAATTCTGTAGTATCTCTCATGAATTGGAGGAGGTATATAATTACATACATATATATTACACACATATATACATACGTACATACATATACATAACTATCTGGGGAGGGGTTAAACCTTGAACCTAGGTCAATGCATAGAGCTACATTGTTTCATTTCTTATTTTGAAGTTACAAGTTAAATTATTAAGTTATAAAATAGCCCAGGCTGAGCTACAACTTGTGATCATCCAGTCTCCACCTCCCATAGTACTGGGTTACATACACATACTACCTGGTCCAGCTAACAGATGTTTTTTAATGTGAAGGAAATTCAATTTAATTTTAAGTGGCTTAGTATGTGTCTTTTTAATTATTAATTTATGGAGTTATCTAAAAAGTGAAATGAAAGTATCATTAGGTGAGTTCAGGTTTCATTAAAAATAATTTTAATCACTCAGTATTTCTGTTATTAGAAATTGTATCCATTTGGAAAGATTAAGGAAGAAAAATTGTAAGTAAGCCAATGTAGTAAATAATTTAACTATATTTGAGAATCTTATAATAATTTATGATAATCCTTAACCTAGAACCCACAGCAGCTTGCACAATCAAAGATTATTAAAGACAGTTGTGGGGCTGGGAATATATAGGTCAGTGGCATGGCACCTGCCAGGCAAGCACAAGGTCCTGAGTTTGATTTCTGATTTAAAAAAAAGATACCTTGCGCTAGGGATATATAGCTCAGTGGCATAAGCGCCTGCCTGGCAAGTGTAAGGTTTTAGTACCAAAAATAAAATACGACTGTGCAATTAAACTACTAAAAATGCACAACCCAAACATTTTACATCAATTTATCATGATACTGTATAATTTATTTTACATCAATTTATCATGCTACTATATAACTTAAGCATTTTATAACAATTTATTATTAGATTGTCAAACACCAAATTAAAAGTTTTACCAAAGTGACAATATGGTCACTCCCATTAAGTGGTTCAAGAGGACTAACATTAAGATGATTAGTCCAAAAAAGATGTATCCTCACAAACGCGTATCACTTTTTACTACTTATTCTCTAGAGGTACAACTAACTGGAGACATTTATAAAAAAATCTTAATACAAAGATAAAATCCTACATCTTAGTTGTCTGTTGTAATCATGTGCTGTTTTAGTTACTGAGAATATATCAATGAACAAAACATCTCTCTTGAATGTATTTCACATAGGAAGCACAGTTACAATTGACAATGAGTATCAATAAAAAGTCTTATGCACACAACTCTGAAACTGACAGTTGTCAGGCAACTGCCTGAGGCAAGTGCTTGCCTGATGAATATGTTTCACTGCCTACTCAAATCAACATGAACCAGCCTTCCTACTTCCTTTACCTCTTCCCCTTGTTTATTTCTGTAATTACTATACTAAGAACCCCAAATTAGGGAAGGACTTCAGAACTGCTTCATAACACCTGTTGAAGAAATATATTTCTGGGCTGGGGATTTAGCTCAGCGGCATAAGCACCTGCCTTGCAAGTGTATGGCCGTGAGTTTGATTCCCGGTACCGATAAAAAAGAAAAAAACCATAAATAAATAAATAAAAATTTTTTAAAAAAGAAATATATTTCTGCTAACCATTTTATTACTTTCCAGACCAATTTAAAATAATTAGGGTTATTTTACATTGAAATAGTATCTGGAACTCAAATGCTGCAATGTTGGCTATAAGGAACTTTTAACTTGAATTATCAGGTTAAAGTTCTCCTAGAAACAAAATGAGAAATTCCTGGTTCCTTCTCTACTTGCCAGATCAAAAGTCTGCAAACTTTCTGTAAAGAACTAGATTAAAAAGTATCTTAGGGAGCTACAGCAGAAGAATCAGTTGAGGACAGTATGAGGCCAGCTTGGACAACATGGCAAGACTCCACTACAAAAAATTTAAAAAATTACTACTTTAGTTTGAAGGCTACAAGGTCTCTGCTGCTGCACCTCATTGATTATACTGTGTAAGAAATCTAAGTATAGGGCCGGGGGTTTAGTTCAGCACCAGAAGTGCCTGCCTGGCAAGTGTAAGGTTGTGAGTTCAATCCTGTACCAAAACAAAAAAAAACTCAAGTAAAAAGTCCATACATGAAAAAAAGTAGCAATGCATACTGTCAATTCAGGTTGCTAAGAAGCACCACAGACTGGGTATCTTACAAACAACAGAAATTTATTTCTCATAGTCCTGGAAGATACATCTAATTTATTCTCACAGTTCTTGAACACTAAGTCAGATTGGTCAACTCCTGCAAAAGCCCTAATCCAGTGCTGGCAAACCTAAGGCACACGTGTTGTTTCTCTGTAAGACAAAAGAAATTAATGTGTGAGTTTTTTTAAAAAACTAAAACCT